CATTGACTTCCATGTTAAAATTTACAGAAGGAAAAAGCCTGGTGCAAAAAAAAAAGAAAAATAATAATAATAATGATAATAATAATAATAAATAAATAAATAATTTGGTGTATATAGCTAATATTACACTTCATGACAACTGTGAGGGGGTGAATTATTTTATAACTGATCAGTTTAATGTATATTAAGCCTTAACATTTTAAATAATTGAAGGCATGGCCATGTTGACTGGTATTTGCTGTTTACCATCAAGTCACCTCAGCCTATAACAGTGCAGCTTTATACAGTTGAATGTCTTTTGGGGTAATTTCATTCAATTATCAAATAATATATGTACAATTGGAAGTACAAATGCTGTATTACGCAAGCAATAACCTCGTAAAGCTAATAATGACTGAAACTGCAATTCATCAACTGGCCAGTGGGGGCCAGCTCCAAAAAAGAGTACATCCCTTTTGACTCCCATGTTAAAATGATCAAATTTTAAGTAGGAAAAATGGTGTTTAAAACCTGGTGCCAAAAATGTTTTGGTGTATATAGCTAATATTACAATTCATGACAACTGTGAGGGGGTGAACTATTTTATAACGCATCGGTTTAATGTATATTAAGCCTTAACATTTTAAGTAATTGAAGGCATGGCCATGTTGACTGGTATTTGCTGTTTGTTGTCAAGTCACCTCAGCTCATAACAGAGGCTGAACTTGGGATATCTTTCATATTTGTGCTTTTGTTTTGTGTGTCTTTACATAGTTGAATGCCTTTTGGGTTTATTTCATAAAATTATCAAATATTATGATATATCATGTACATTTGGGAGCACAAATGCAAACAATAACCTCTTAAAGCTTATAGTAACTGAAACTGCAATTCCTCGGCTGACCACTGGGGGCTGGCTCCAAAAGGGAGCAAATCTTTATTGACTCCCATGTTAAAATGCCCAACTTTAAAGCACAAAAAAAGGTGTTAAAAGCCTGGTGGGAAAAATATTTTGGTGCAAATAGCTAATATTACCCTTTATGACAACTGTGAGGGAATAAATTATTTTATTTTTTATTTTTTTTACTCATCCATTTCATTTATATTAAGCCAGGGGTCACCAATCTCCGGCCTGGAGGGCCGGTGTCTCCGCAGGGTTTAGCTCCAACTTGCCTCAACACACCTGCCAGGATGTTTCAAGTATACATAGCAGACCTTAATTAGCTTGTTCAGGTGTGTTTGATTAGGGTTGGAGCTAAAACCTGCAGGACATCTGCCCTGCAGGAACAAGTTTGGTGACCTCTGTATTAAGCCTTACCATACTGCATCGTTAACAGAATGGACACTTGAGCGACAGCCCAACCACAGAACTTAGCATGTCTGTTGTATTTGTGCTTTTCCTTGGCTTTACACAGTTGATTGTCTTTTGAAGTTATTCTTACAATTAGTAAATAATATGGCGTGCTGTACACAATTGTTGCATGCAAATGTACATTTTTGTCCCATCTTTGATGTACAACAATCTAGTATTCATGCAGATTCGTTTCCCTACAAAATCACTCTAATCATTCTTTAAAAATAGTTATTCAAGCCATTTGGTGAAATATGGTTTATATCGGAAAATGCATTTAAGAAAAAGAAACGCTGCTTTTAACATCAGTATTAATTACCATTTGATTTTGTGACTTTAAAAGTTACCCTTTGCTTGCGTCAACTTGTTGTGAGTTCCCCACAGACAGCTTAGACATTTAACAGTAATTATCTTCAAATGTCCTTGTGGAGGGCTGAATTATTTTATATCGTTTGGCTTAGAATTGTTTGACTTCTGATAGAATGTCATGCATAACAATAAAGCCACTCATTATGAACCCATCATTCACAACGACACAAATGTCATCATTACAGTCATTCTGGAAATTTTTATCTCCCTTTAGAGACACACAAACCTCCTGTCTCTGAATACTGACCTGATTTTTCATTAGGAAATCACTTTCGTTATCCATGTTTTACCTCTATAGTGATCCCTGTAGTTCCATGAAATGTGCTAAAAGTCAAGATAAATGGTGTCACGTGATTAATTACAAAAGGATTCACGTCATTAGTTAGGAATTGATCGGTGCAAGCGTAATTAAATTGGTGAGTGAGTGTGTTATTCAAGCATTTGCATTTCACAAATTAAATTTGTCCTTAAGTGTTTAGTGTTTCTTAGGTTTTTTGTTTTGTTCTGTATTCATTAAGGTATTTTTTGTCTTAAATATAATATAAGTAACATGTGAGAATTAATTAAAAAACATTAAAGAAATGGTTCACCTAAAAGTTGTTGCTTCATTAGTGCATTTTCTTTCTTTAGCTGAAACCATGATGATTCACAGTCATAAAAATATACTTATTACATCATTAAGCCTATTAAAACAGTCTACTACATGGAAATGAAGTAATTAAAGTAGTAATTAAATTAAGTAATAGTTAAGTAATTAAATATCATTACACTTTTCATTCACAGTATATTAAGTGAACGTTTCTTATTCTTATTAAACGTTTCTGATTCTTATTAAAGGGATACTGTTTACACTTTATTTACTCAGTGGTTCCAAACCTTTATGGGTTTCTTTCTTTTGCTGAACACTAAAGAACATGTTTTGAAGACAGCTGAAAACCTGTATACATTTACTTCCCACATAGCAAAATTTCTCTGGCCCACACAATCAGCTTTTGCTTGGCCCACATGCCGCAGTGAATTAGGGTACATGATTGGATCAAGTCTAGCTTCCATACAAGGGCCAAACATGAACCATATTTGGGCCAAGTCTTAGCCAAGTTATTAAGTCATAACTGGGCCTGAATTGGGCCAGATATGTTAGCGTGTCATGACTGCAATTAGTTTAATAAACCCATGAAGCAATTTGTGGCCACACTTTTTTCTCAAAGCGGCCCGATTTGTAAAATTTTTTTCTTTACTCAAAAATAATTTAAAGGTATTTTAAAAGTGGGTCAAGATAAGCCAAACTTACGTGGCTCACATATACATTTTTAACATCTGGGCCAAATATTACATTTGATATCTGGCCCACGTCTTGTATGCTGCCTAAAAGACATTGCTACCTCTGCCAAACCTGAGCCATGCTTGGCCCACATGCTGTATGCCAATGTCGGATGACAGCCTGCTGTGCCAGCTTCATGGCAAATCTGGGCCAGAATTATTTGCTACCCTGGTTCCATAGTGGGAAATCAACAATATGCTATTTTGGTGACTTGCTTCAAATCCACATTAGATTGTGGTCTTTTCAAAAGAGTGTGTAGCTACAAATGCCTGTGCATCAGCATAGCGGCAGATTCAAAACAGGAGTGACGCTATCTGAAAAAAAAAAAAAAAAACAGAAAATGTCTAAAGAAGTGTTTTATCCTGCGTTCACACTAGATGTGGATGAAGCGTCACGCACGAGTGATTTACATGTTAAGTCAATGCAAAAATGCGCATAGACATCTAAACTTCAGCGGACAATTGCGTCATGTCAAGACCTTGCTTTTGTAGGGAAATGATTATGACGTAGTTCCTGTTGTTGGTGTCCCGGGGGGGGCAATCCGAATCTGAAGGACTGCTGCAAGCCTCCATCATCCAGGTGTAGTTTCTGGAGGAGGTGATGAACTGGGTACACCTCAGAAAAGATCTAGTGGATTCAGACATGACACTAAAGTAATCTACACTGTTTTGACCCTTTATAAAGCACATAAACACAGCTAACAAACAGCTAACACAGCTGAACAAACAAGATCCTGTTTCTGTCTACTTTTCTGAAATTTATTCATTTGTTAAGTGGTGTGATGAAAACTTTTTAAAAGTAAATACAAAAAAAACAAACAAAAAAAAAAACAACAAAGGAAAAAATCTTTGTTCCCAAGTGTGTTATCGAGCATTTACCAGTGTTTGTACATAATCAAGAAATCACTCAGGTACAGTCATACTAGTATTTGGGAGTTCACATAGACCGGTCTGTAACATGGGTCACTCTGTGAGAAGCTTCACCAAAGACTGTATTTTCTACGAAGGTTTTATGGTGTTGATAAGAAAATCATGTACTCATTTTATCAAGCTGTGTTTGAAAGAGTTATCAGGTATGGTCGATCTACATGGTATGGCAATCTTTCTGTAAATCTGAAATCAAAATTTTTTAATATTATCAGAACTGCTAAAAGACTAGGATCTGAAAATTTTACTAGTATACAAACACTTTACTAGCAATGCACTCTGAATGAAGCTAAAAGAATTTTAAGTAACCCATCTCATGTACTCTTCCCATCTTACGAACTTTGACCTTCTGGAAGAAGATACAGAACTTTCCGCTGGAAACGGAACAGATTTAAGAACTGTTTTATTCCAGTGTCAGTCAGACTATTGAACACTGAACAATAGTGTGTGCAATTCTTTTGCATGTTGACTTATTCTTTTAAATTGTTATTGTGGCAAAACCTGCTGAAGTGCTGTGTAAGTCTACAGAAAATTTCCCATTGAGGAATAAAAAAGTATACAAACAAACAAACAAACAAACAATTCTATCCCAATAAAATCCAAGTTAGCCTTTTAGCAATGAAGCTAGAGTAAACGGGCAGACCAAAGCCCTACCCATGATGCGAATCCGCGTTTATTGTGACGGGAATTTGATGCTCAAAAGAAGAAAATTTGATGCGTGAATGAAGTTAGTAAACTCAGAATGTTTACGCATCTATTTATGCTCCAAAAGTGCAATTTATCAGCACATACCGAATGTGGTGTGAACTTAGCGTCAGACAAAAGAAGTCTACAGTGTTCATCTGTGCATCCTAAAACTTCAGTTATTTAGGGAGACAAAAGATTCCAGTTAGTGTGCTGTTTCATTTTTTAAGACCTTTTAAGCTACATATTACATGAAACATAAAAACGTGTCATAATAAGTGCAGTTTAATGACTAACTTTCCATTTTTGGGTGATCGAAGTTCAATTTTAATTATGTTATATGTTTTTTTTGTTGTTGTTTTTTTTATAGCATCAGCTCCCATGTTCAACAACAACCCAGTCCGTCTCATCGCAACCGTTGGGAAAGACGTGTCTCTAGAGTGCCGTCCTCGTGCTTCACCCAAACCCAGAATCTCATGGAGGAAAAACGACCGAAGACTTCAACCCAGCCGAAGGTAAGTAAGAGAGTCCCAGCTGAAGCGCAGTTTAGCTTCGTGACCGAACATGTTTTGCATGAAACTGTGATAATTATCAGGATTCGGGATGAAGCAGTGGCAGTCCACTCCTAAGGGTCTGTGTTTTTAATTGATTCCAATTAAATATGCCCATAAACACGCATACATTTACATGAATCTGTGTGCTCAGGGGCTTTAATCAATGTTCTTGTCCAATGATTACCGGTCTCATGCTGGGTTTAGCTCTGCTAAGGTGCGATGCGGTGACAGGTTTGTTTGCACTCTCACAGCTATTAAGCTAGTTTGCTATGCAAGGTTGCATTGTGATTGATGTCATGCTGATTTCCTATTATTGTCAGGTTCATTCTTTTGGATTTTATATATATAGCAGTTGCCAAAAGGGATGTCAGGCCTAGGAAAAATGCTAAATTTGTACTTTATTTTGTCCAATGTTAAAATTTGAATTAGTTTAGCTGTATTTTGTTTACTATATGTGATTTCTAGTGAGCTATTTTGTCAAATAATATTTAAGTTAAATATAACCTATAACATATGGAAAGCAAGATCAGTTTCTTTGGAATACTGGATTTATTAGGTGTTTTAAAGAGCCCCTAATATGCATTATAAAGAGGTATATTTTAGTTTTGGGGTCTCCAACAACAGGCTGACCTGCATGCAATTGTTTTTACCCAATTATCCCAATGGTTCTCATATGATTTGTTCAATGATTCATTTGTTTTCAAACCCCTTCTTTGCATGAGGCTAATTTGCAGCGATTGCAAGTAAATTTTTCTCATACAGAGCAGTTGGCTAGATCTATGCATTATAGCTTTTATATTATAGAGTAAAATAACAGATAAACAAAGACTGCTGTTCAGTTAATTTTCCCAGCGCATAAACAGCTCTCGTTAATAGTTAACATGCTTTTACTTTCGTATTCGACATGAAACACACATTTACCTATAGGGATGACATCCCACCCTACACATAATTTTCTCTTCATATAGCCATATATGCCTACACTGAAAAAAAATTATTCAAAGATGATTCCTTGGATTTACTCAATTTTTTATGTTAAGTGGTTGTAAACAATTTATTTGGGCTGAATTTAATCAAACAAATTAAGTTGAACATTATTAAATTTAATTTGTTTGTTTAAATTCAACACAAATAAGTTGTTTGCAACAGTTCTGCATGCAACACTTTTTTTTCAGCGTATTACATAGCTAAATACACTGTGATATAGCTTGGTTCAGATCGTATCGCTTTCTTACTACAATCAATCCACTCCAGAGTTTATTTAAATCAAGCCGAGACCACTTCTTTCAGGCAATCTCGGACCGATTCTTTTGGTGCAAAGCCGAGCGCGATTGCTGGATTCACATATGCGAAACAAGCTGCGGTGACTAGTATAGGTGTAACGGTTCACAAAAATCACGGTTCGGTTCGATACGACACAGTGGTGTCACGGTTTGGTTTGTTTTTGATACAGCAAAAAAAGAAAAAAGCCAGAGAGTTTCTCTGATTTTAATTTACCGGCCCTATTATTAGTTAACAATAATAACTGTGCTGTGTTCTCATGGGTGGTGACTGAAATTGCACAGATGATATTGACATATAACTTATTATTTGCATACGTCATCCTAATAGCAGCAACGGTCTTTTCATGAGCTGCAATATTAGTTTCATCTTAGTGAATGCATGTTCTTTAGAGATGGTGAACACAGCATCAGTCGCATGATTGACAGCATCGTGATTATTAAATGAAGGATTAGATCACGTTATAACATATTTTGACATCGCATAGATAAAATTTCGGGCGCATATGCAAACAAAACGGTCGCAATTTTAAGCCCTGTCTCATATCTACAGCTATAAATGTACCGATAACAAAGTGTTCTCAAACGCCAGACCCGCTGTTGGTTATAGGAGGATTACATTAACGTTATAGTTGGTGTGCTAGTACAGCGTGTGCCTGACTGGAGTAGTGTGTGGCAGTAGTTAAAGCAGCAGCCTGACTGGAGTACCCTGCTAAAAAATCTAGCTTAAACCAGCCTAGACTAGTTAGCTGGTTTTAGTTGTTTGACCAGGCTGGTTTTAGAGGGGTTTTGGCCACTTCCAGGCTGGTTTCCAGCCATTTTCAGCCTGGTCTTAGCTGGTCAGGCTGGAAGATGACCAGCTAAAACCAGCTTGACCAGCCTAGCTGGGAGTCCAGCCAAAACCAGCTATGTCCAGCTTAAACCAGGCTGGTCAAGCTTGTTTTAGCTGGACCAGGCTGGAAATGGCTGGAAACCACTCTGGAAATGGCCAAAACCCCTCTAAAACCAGGCTGGTCAACCAGCTAAAACCAACCAACCAGCCTAGGCTTGTTTAAGCTGGATTTTTCAGCAGGGTAGTGTTTGGGGAAGGCAGCATGTTGCCTGTCATGCCATTTGGGATGCCATGATGAGCGTTGTTGCACTAAAAACATTATGTTTTGTAAACTTTCTCTTTTATCTTTTTAGATATTAGTCTGAATTGTTTGGTTTGTAATGCGTTCCGAGCAGAAAGTCTCATACTGAACGGTTCAATTTGAATACGCGTATTGTTACACTCTTAACTAGGGAAAAGTGACAAGTTCCGAAAGAAAAGTCTATGTGTGAAAGTACCCAAATAGATGTAAAATGAACCGCACAGTGTATGGGCTCACTTTACATCTCCTTTAATGAGATTCCAGCGTTTTATCCATTTTATAGTTTGAGAATGTTAATGTAAGCATATTTTAAAACATATACGTTAGAACAGACTGCGGGGTTAAATGTAAGTGCTCAGAGTCAGTCATCTACGGCACACTGCTTTATTCATCTGTTACAATCTTGTACATGTAACCTCATTAGAATTGAAGTATAGCTTATTTGAGCCATAATATTGTAGACCCTGTTAGCTGATGGCTCATCCGCTGTGGCCATTCATTTATGCATAATCTTATATCAGCACGGAGGAAAATGAGCACCATGAACAAGCTCTTGATGGAGAAGACGCGTCAGTCATCATGAGTGACAGATGTGAAATTATCGGCCCCCGTCGAGCGCTGTAGGCGATAGAGCTGCTGTTTAATAAAAGAGATTCTCCAACACCACCACACACACACACACTCACATGCTGTGCTGCCTATTCATCTGAAAGAATTAATAATATTAATATTATTTTCATGGTGGCTTTGGTTGTGTTGTGATGGTTTATGAAAGAAGCTGAAGAGAAGATTGTAGAATATTGCAAATAAGTGGAAGTAAAACAAACACTGGGTTAATAATGTATTAGTTGGAGACATGGGCTGCGTTCGAAGCTGCATACCACCAAATAGGTACTGCATTTGAATTTAAATGTACTACTCAGCCTTTGGAAAATGTGAGCAGTATGAATGAAACTCGGACGTACTGCATCCACCATTTTGTCATGATCACATGACCTACCTGCATGAGTTGCGTCGCCATACTCTCATTCATGAATTATCTTACAGGGCATCGTGGGAAAGCGTAGCATTCATTGGATGCACATTTAAAAATCACGCTGAAAGAAGTAGATCATATGGGTATTTCTCGCATACTGTTTTTAGCTAATTTTATGGTAACACTTTACAATAAGGTTCAATAGTTCATGCATTTACTAACTAGAACTAACCATGAACAACACATGTACAGCATTTATTAATCATAATTGAACATTTACTAATGCATTATTAACATCCAAGTCCATGCTTGTTAACATTAGTTAATGCACCATGAGTTAACATGAACTAACAATGAACTACTGTATTTTCATTAACTAACGTTAACCAACATGAACAAATACAGTAGTAAATGTATTGTTCATTGTTTGTTCATGTTAGTAAATGAATTAATTAACATTAACGAATGAACCTTATTGTAAAGTGTGACCAATTTTATTGAAGTATGTGATTTTGGACGCAAGTCATGTTATCAGTTATGTAAGCCTCTGCAATTTGGTATCTTAAAGGGACAGTTTACCCAAAGATAACAATGTAGTCAAGTGGGTCTAAACCAGGGGTGGCCAATCCTGTTCCTGGAGAGCCACCTTCCAGCAGATTTCAGTTGCAACCCATATCAAACACACCTGCCTGTAATTATCACGTGGCTTTCAGGTCCTAATTAATTGGTTCAGGTGTGTTTGATATGGGTAGCAACTGAAATCTGCAGAAAGGTGGCTCTCCAGCAACCTGGTCTAAACATTTATAAAGTTAAAATCAGAATTATTAAACCTCCTTTGAGTTTCTTTTTCTTTTTTAAATATTTCCCAAATTATGTTTAACAGAGCAAGGACATTTTCACAGTATGTCTGATAATATTTTTTTTCGGTAACACTTTACAATAAGGTTCATTAGTTAATGCATTTACTTACATGAACTAATCATGAACAACACTTTTACAGCATTTATTAATCATTATTGAACATTTACTAATGCATTATTAACATTCAAGTCCATGCTTGTTAACATTAGTTAATGCACCATCAGTTAACATGAACTAACAATGAACTACTGTATTTTCATTAACTAACGTTAACCAACATGAACAAATACAGTAGTAAATGTATTGTTCATTGTTTGTCCATCTTAATAAATGCATTAATTAACATTAACTATTGAACCTTATTGTAAAGTGTGACCTTTTTTTCTTCTGGAGAAAGTCTTATTTGTTTTATTTTGGCTAAAATAAAAGCAGTTTTGATTTTTTTTTTAAACTAAAAGACCCCTTTAAGCTAATTATTTTTTCATTTGTCGTTATACAATAGCTTGCCTAATTACCCTAACCTGTCTAGTTAACCTAATTAACCTAGTTAAGCCTTTAAATGTCACTTTAAGCTGTATAGAAGTGTCTTAAAAAATATCTAGTAAAATATGATTTACTGTCATCATGGCAAAGATAAAATAAATCAGAAATGAGTTATTAAAACTTTTATGTTTAGAAATGTGTTGAAGAAATCTGCTCTGTATTAAACAG